AAACCTAGCACAACTTCTTTCTAAAGCTAGAACACTTTTCAGAAAATCCCGATGCTTTTCTGATGTGCCTAGAAAAGGACTCTGCAGACCATGGAAGCTTCATAAATGCTCACTAAATGTTCTCAGGTTAGAGAACTCGAGCGTGCTGTGGAAATGTATGTGCTTAGGTGTGTAAACATGTGTTGATGCATATATCTGTGTGTAGGAGGAGCTAGGTGACTGCATGGCAGTCCGTGGAATTGAAGAGAATCCTTGACTTCTAAGTAGGGGTGTGTACGTGGGTGTGTCTAGGAGCCTGGGTATGTAAACATAATGTGCACAGAACCCAGGGGCACCAGGGGAGGTTAAAGATAGGTGTAGGTATCTTGGGGGCCTCTAACTAGCCCCCTTTCTCAACTCCCAACTCCAATGCACTCCAGAAATCTCGGTAGCCCATTCCCACCCCTTGCCTGTTTCTCTCCCTGAACTCCAAGGCTCCACCAGGCCAGAATGAAATGAGTACAAGCCCCAAAGTACCATTCCCCCCACTTCCTGTCTTCTCCACACCAAAGGAAGGTGGAAAATTCTGGGAGCTTCTAGCTCAAGGAGCCCCAGCAGGGTGGGTGAGGGTCCAGCTAGATGCTTAGTATCTGAAGTCACTATGCTCCTCTGCTGCCTCCCTCTTTAGGGTCACAAAGCACTGTCCCCTTCACAATTGCATTGATCCTCTCACCTGCACAGGAAGAAGGCAGGGCATGCTCAGATGACAATCTGATCCCCATTTTATAGGGGAGGAAGCAGGGACCCAGGGAGGGGAAGCAACTTGCACAAGGTGACAGGACAGGTAAGGGGTGGAGCCAAGGCTGGTGGCTCTGCCAGTCTGAAAGGGTTACTCTAAGCTCTTAATTGTGGGCGTGGGGTTGCTGGGCTTAGTTTCACCAAGGGCAGCTGCTCTCAAAGCCAGCACTGGGCTGAGCAGCTGAGAGGAGGGGAGAGACTGAGACAGAATATTTGGGGGAGGAAAGTGGCAGAGGGCAGTTCTTCCACTCTACAAAGGCGCCTGAGCCAGTTGTATATCAGAGTTTCTGTAGTCTGATATTGAGGCTTTAGCTGGAAGTGTGTAGAGAGAGTGAGATGGAGGATTTGATTTGTATTTCTAGCTAACTTAAGGTTGTTATTTTATCATTAAGGAGTATATGCGTGGTGGGGATTGGGAGTTATAAATTAAAAGCTTTTTCTGTGGATTATTGGGGAACATTTAATTTAGGGTTTAGGATCCTAGCAAGGTGGTGTGGTCTGAGGTGAGGAGGTAAAGATGGAGGCTAGCTCTGTTATTATGTAACCCGGGCCTCAGTCTTCCAATCTGTAACAAAGACATTAATATCTTCACCCTATCCCCTATGGACTTTAGAGGGATAGGCAACAATGTATCCATAAAGATTAAAAGTAGTTGCAAAAGAATGCATTTATTAAATGCTTAACAGTTATTTTGTGCCAGACACTGTTCTAAGTACTTTACAAATGTTAACTCATTTGCTCCCCATCACAACCCCAGGAGGACAGAGGTACAGAGAGGGTACATAACTTGCTCAAGGTCACACAGCCAGTCTGTGGTAGATCTGGATATGGATTGAGGTAGCCTGGCTGGAGTCTATCCTATTTCTTCTTCTTTTTTTTTTTTTTTTTTTTTTT